AAGGAGGTCCCCTGTCTCCCAGCACACTGTGTATTATAACGGCAGCTATAAGGTTATGGTGTAAGGAGGTCCCCTGTCTCCCCGCACACAGTGTATTATAACTGCAGCTATAAGGTTATGGTGTAAGGAGGTCCCCTGTCTCCCCGTTAGTATTATAACTGGAGCTATAAGGTCATGGTGTAAGGAGGTCTCCTCGCACACAGTGTATTATAACCGCAGCTATAAGGTTATGGTGTAAGGAGGTCCCCTGTCTCCCAGCACACAGTGTATTATAACCGCAGCTATAAGGTTATGGTGTAAGGAGGTTACCTGTCTCCCCGCACACAGTGTATTATAACTGCAGCTATAAGGTTATGGTGTAAGGAGGTCCCCTGTCTCCCCGCACACAGTGTATTATAACTGCAGCTATAATGTTATGGTGTAAGGAGGTCCCCTGTCTCCCCGCACACAGTGTATTATAACTGCAGCTATAAGGCTATGGTGTAAGGAGGTCATCTGTCTCCCTGCACACAGTGTATTATAACTGCAGCTATAAGGTTATGGTGTAAGGAGGTCCCCTGTCTCCCCGCACACAGTGTGTTGTAACTGCAGCTATAAGGTTATGGTGTAAGGAGATCCCCTGTCTCCCCGCACACAGTGTATTATAACTGCAGCTATAAGGTTATGGTGTAAGGAGGTCCCCTGTCTCCCCGCACACAGTGAATTATAACTGCAGCTATAAGGTTATGGTGTAAGGAGGTCCCCTGTCTCCCCGCACACAGTGTATTATAACTGCAGCTATAAGGTTATGGTGTAAGGAGGTCCCCTGTCTCCCTGCACACAGTGCATTATAACTGCAGCTATAAGGTTATGGTGTAAGGAGGTCCCCTGTCTCCCCGCACACAGTGTATTATAACTGCAGCTATAAGGTTATGGTGTAAGGAGGTCCCCTGTCTCCCCGCACACAGTGTATTATAACTGCAGCTATAAGGTTATGGTGTAAGGAGGTCCCCTGTCTCCCCGCACACAGTGTATTATAACTGCAGCTATAAGGTTATGGTGTAAGGAGGTCCCCTGTCTCCCCGCACACAGTGTATTATAACTGCAGCTTTATGGTGTAAGGAGGTCCCCTGTCTCCCTGCACACTGTGTATTATAACTGCAGCTATAAGGTTATGGTGTAAGGAGGTCCCCTGTCTCCCCGCACACAGTGTATTATAACTGCAGCTATAAGGTTATGTGTAAGGAGGTCCCCCGTCTCCCTGCACACAGTGTATTACCAATACTTAGAGACAACTCAATATGCCAAACATAACTAGATAGAGAGACTCTTCCAATAATCAGTGGGATCAGAATAGCTCAGCCTGCCATTGTCTTCCAGATTTGTATATACAAGGAATCTCCAAACACAGGTAAAAAAATAAATAGAAAATCCAAAAGACAAAAAAATTGACAACTAGCCATAAATAATAAAGGTTGTAGCGGAGAGGTAATATAATCCACAGTGTTTCCGCTGGGTAACAGGAACAGAATAGAATCCTTCAAGCAAAATGAGTACAGCATGCAATAATCCCGGTAGCGTTAAATAAATCCTTCCTTCCCAAGAACTAGACAACACATAGGCTGGGAGTCAACTAAGGCTTTAATCACAGGTCACAGTATTTATGCAGTTCCCTTGTGCAAGGGGTTTCCCTACTGACTTTACAGGGGTTGTACAGTAGAGGACTACATGGGGAACTTAACAACCCGGACATTTCTCCCATCATGCACTGCTGCACGAGAGGGATACTCCCACTAGAATAGCCAGTTAAGTGGATTATCCCTCCGTGCAGCAGAACTAACATTTCACACAAAAATCCATAACTTCTACATTATTTATGTTATTTTACCGAATGACCGTTCGGTAGATAGCTGGGGTCTGAGCACACCTTTCGTGAAAGTACCGCTCAGATCCCAGTCTAAATAACCGAATGCCGCACGAAAAAACACATATTATTTTACATTCACCTCAAAGTACTCAATGCATATAGGGGAACAAACTACCGAATGACTGGCACTCCCGAATGGCCTTGAAGTCCAGCGGTATTCGTGCCGTTGAGTAGCAGATTTCAGTTCCAGGCGCTCGACGACCAAATACCGCTGGGCTAACAAAAGATCCAAGATGGCCTACCGCCGCTTGGTCGGTAGCCGAATGGCGGCCACCCTGAATCCCAATAATTACCGAAGGATACATTGTTGCAAAGCTTAATGAGAGCCACACGACCTCCTATGTGTGGTCTCTCATTCGGTAGTTTATTCGTTTCACGAACAGTGTTGAAATTCACTGTTCGTGAAACTACTGTATTAATGCTGGTGGCTTTCATGCCGCCAGCATACGAATGCTCTCATTCGCATCAAATACAAATACCCGTACAGCGATGCAGTCCCCAGTCAGATTACTCTTGGGCACCAGATGATTCCGGACTAGCGTTAGGGTAGCCCCAGAATCACGTAGCCCTTACACATTCTTCCCCTGCATATGCACCTCCTGCCGGTGTCCCTGTCGGTTATCTGAGGCGGCCTGAATGGGGTTCACCTCATGTAGTGCCCCCAAAAGGTTCTTCCATGGGAGTAACGGTCTCGGGTGCTCCGTACTGTTCTGCTTGTACACAGTGTACGGCTGCTTGGTTGCTAGGGGTTGTATTGTTCCAGCTCGGCCTGGGTCGGTTGCGGGGGCAGTCTCACTGGATATGCCCCTGCTGGTTGCAGGTGTGCAAGCGAATCAAAGGACGAGTGGGGTACCTGGGGGTTTAGGTATTTTGGCTTACCCCCGGTCGTGGCTGGATAGTGGAGGTCACAGCTGGTAACGGTGTGGTAGACGTGTAGGCTGGACGGTTTTGGGTGCGTTGGTCCCTCCGGGTATCTTGGAACTCATCTGCCAGCTTGGCAGCCTCCTGCAGGGTGTGTGGTTTTGGTCCCGTACCCAATTTTGTAGATGGGCAGGTATCCCGTCGAAGAACTGCTCCACGACCATTAGCTGGAACAGGCCCTCTAACGTGTTAACTTGGGTGGCTTCCAACCACCCCTTTGCGGCTAGCTGCAGACGGTGTGCCTACTCTACGTGGGTGTCTTTGCTTGGTTTCTTACTGTCCCGAAATTTGTGTCGGTATGCCTCTGAGGTAATTCGGGCATACCGGGCTAAAATAGCTTGTTTTACTTTACCATAGTCTCTACTGTCCTCATCTGGCACGGCTCTGTATGCCTCTGCTGCACGACTGGATAATCTCCCTGCACACAATGTATTATAACTGCAGCTATAAGGTTATGGTGTAAGGAGGTCCCCTGTCTCCCCGCACACAGTGTATTATAACTGCAGCTATAAGGTTATGGTGTAAGGAGGTCCCCTGTCTCCTGCACACAGTGTATTATAACTGCAGCTATAAGGTTATGGTGTAAGGAGGTCCCCTGTCTCCCCGCACACAGTGTATTATAACTGCAGCTATAAGGTTATGGTGTAAGGAGGTCCCCTGTCTCCCCGCACACAGTGTATTATAACTGCAGCTTTATGGTGTAAGGAGGTCCCCTGTCTCCCTGCACACTGTGTATTATAACTGCAGCTATAAGGTTATGGTGTAAGGAGGTCCCCTGTCTCCCCGCACACAGTGTATTATAACTGCAGCTATAAGGTTATGGTATAAGGAGGCACCCTGTCTCCCCGCACACTGTATTATAACTCCAGCTATAAGGTTATGTGTAAGGAGGTCCCCCGTCTCCCTGCACACAGTGTATTACCAATACTTAGAGACAACTCAATATGCCAAACATAACTAGATAGAGAGACTCTTCCAATAATCAGTGGGATCAGAATAGCTCAGCCTGCCATTGTCTTCCAGATTTGTATATACAAGGAATCTCCAAACACAGGTAAAAAAATAAATAGAAAATCCAAAAGACAAAAAAATTGACAACTAGCCATAAATAATAAAGGTTGTAGCGGAGAGGTAATATAATCCACAGTGTTTCCGCTGGGTAACAGGAACAGCATAGAATCCTTCAAGCAAAATGAGTACAGCATGCAATAATCCCGGTAGCGTTAAATAAATCCTTCCTTCCCAAGAACTAGACAACACATAGGCTGGGAGTCAACTAAGGCTTTAATCACAGGTCACAGTATTTATGCAGTTCCCTTGTGCAAGGGGTTTCCCTACTGACTTTACAGGGGTTGTACAGTAGAGGACTACATGGGGAACTTAACAACCCGGACATTTCTCCCATCATGCACTGCTGCACGAGAGGGATACTCCCACTAGAATAGCCAGTTAAGTGGATTATCCCTCCGTGCAGCAGAACTAACATTTCACACAAAAATCCATAACTTCTACATTATTTATGTTATTTTACCGAATGACCGTTCGGTAGATAGCTGGGGTCTGAGCACACCTTTCGTGAATTGTTGTTGCGAACGGGTAATTGACAAGCTAAGTAGCCGTCCTTTGTTCTCGGGGGTGGCCACCATTCGAAAAACGAACACGTGGCGGCGGCCATTTTAAACCTCCCAAACAGCGGTGTTTTGCCGTCGAGTGTCTGGAACTCAAATCGGACACTCGACTAGGCGAACACCGCTGAAACCTCCACAAGCCGGTCCGTTCGGTTCCCAACTACCGAACGGCCCCTCGTTCGGTAGATAGAAAGAACCAAACAAGGGGATTCAGGCGAACCCTCCCTAGCTAGAGGTTTTCGTGCCATTCATTCACTGACTCCAGGACATTTTATTCCCTCCATAAATTTCCCGAACCCCTGGTCTGATCTGGGTGATTTTTGGATATGTTGTTCACCCAGATCAGGGCTACCCGGGGATGTAGGATTTAAAGTGGTACCCCTACGTTTAGGGGTACATCCAGAAACGGGGGAAATTGGTGTGCTGGATAAGGGGATTATGATGCAGGCTAAGGGGAGGAGATGTGTGGGAGGTTACCAGGACAGGATTGGCTACTGTACTAATGAATAAAAATCCCTCTCTTGCATGGGAGCAGGCTTTAAAAGGCCACTGTGTGAATAAAGCTTTAGTTCTGCTCCTGATACTGTGTGTCGTCCAGTTATTGGGATTGCTGTGGGGAGGTTGCTGTTATTTTGCCTGCTGGAAACCTTGCCCTATGGATTTATAATTACTCGTTCCTGAACCTCCCTGGGATCCAAAGTGGAGATAGGCTGTGTAATAGCAGCTCTTCGCTACAGTCGCGAATTACAAAGCTTTACAATTAAATAAAACCCAACATGAAAGAACCCCTCATCCTAATGTTAAGTGTCTCTTTAAGTATTATTTTTGCATTGTCCCTGTAGCCTAGCAGGCCTCTCCCATTTCCCTGGGCTATTCACCAATAATTAGTGAATATGTAAAATCTTAGCAGGAGGCCCCAGGGGGTCAGGCGTACACCCCCACCCCATGCACCTGTCTCATTACACATAAAGGGACACTCCAGGTTGGAGAGACATTCTCTGTCTGCCACTTTTGTTACAGCCTTATGGTGATAACGAATAATAAAACGATAGATCCCTAGTTTTACGAGGCAGGTAAAAAACGAACTACTTTCTGAGACAGCTCTGAAAGTTTTTGTTTTTAAAGGCACACTGCAAACACCATAACCACTGCAGTCTGTAATAGGAGAAGCCAGGTGTCAATATTGAGCTGAAGTGGCCAATCCAGCTCGGCGTTCAGAGCGTTCAGTGGGTCTCAGCCAATGAGTGCGGCTCTATTCAACAAGTTACAATATAAGGTCACCAACAGGAGTAGAATGTGGGAATAATTACAGACAAGTCTAGGCAACAATGTACAATGCAAAGGCCAATAAGGTATCGCCATCACGCCATGTAGAACAAAAATGCACTAATTCACTGGATACAATTTTGCCCCTCTATAGAAACCATGGTTGGAACATGGGGAGTTGTTATGCGCAAAATACAAATATTGCCCCTCTATAAAAGATATTATAGTGGTAAATAGGGAGTAAAATGGGGCTATTGGGTAGTTATACTGCTCAGAAAAAGTGCAGAGATTTCTACTATAATGAAAGAGTCCATTTGTAGAGAAAGGCCAGAAAAACTGTATTTTTTACTTTAGAAAAGAGGCGTCTCGTAGGCGGTATAACATTATACAAATACACACAGCGCCAGTAAAACCACTATCTGCTAACAAGGTCATTAATAGGACTGTATAAAGGAAGGAAATTGTTGTTAGCATTATCAGCATAATAAAGAAGGTGAATTCTCCGGATAAAGAGACTTTTTGTAATCTTATAGTTAATTAATTATTTTTTCAGTATAGCTAAATAACAGTAACACGTGTACTGAATAAACGTCAGTAGCTACGCTGGCACAGATACCATCTTTTTGTAAACTAGAAGCATAATAA